TTGGAGTAATTATTGAGTGTTCCTTTCACTCTCAAGTGTCCCACTTTAGATAATCATAGAACTTTGGTGAAATTGATTTCCACACTTGCTCGATGGAAGAAAGGAATGATGAAGTGCTTTAGGTACTGAGATTAAATTATCTCTAAGGTATAATGTGCATTGAACAAAAGCATGATGTGAAACTTTGTGGCATGCTATAGAACTTATGTGTAAGAAGAAAAAATGTATTTTCATATTTGTATATCATCAGGTGAAGAGATACATAGGAGCACCTGATTGATGACCTCCGAGGAGTAAAATTAGGTACTTGGGTAATGGGGATCGTAGGAGTGAGTGTATTTCTGATAAACTTCATTGTAACTTGAAAAAAAAAAAACCTTCAAAAATAATAAAATATTTCAAAAACAACAAAATGGATAAAACAGAGATTTTTGGAAAAAGCTATACTAGTCAGGGCCCTCCAAAGGAGCAGAACAGTAGAATGTATATGTATTGGACTTATTTCCAGGAATTGGTTTATGAAGTTGTAGGAACTGTCCAAGGCAGAGTGTATGGGGCAGGATGGAAGAGTGAAAAATCTCTGCTAAGAACTAAGGCTGCGGTTTCAAGGCAGAATTTCTTGCTTTGGGAAACCGTTATTTTGCTCTTGGGGCCTTCCAACTGATTGCATGAGTCTCTCCCACATTATTTCAATAGGTTGTAGGTGTTAAACATATAGCTGCAAAAATACTGTCCTAGCAACACCTAGATTTGTGTTTCAATAATTGGGTTCTTTATCCTAGCCAATTTGACACAGGAAACTAAACTTTACAGTCCATCCATGGTCACCTTGGTACCTGTATGCATTTCTTTAAACCACATTTTAATCCCCAAATAGAAACAGTAACAAAGTCAACCTTCTAATCATATACTGAGTTCATGTGCATCAAGGAATATTCCCCCAGGATTCCCCAGAAGAGAATACACATTCCCCCAAAGGAAGATGCCAAGTCCTTGGGTCATGTTGACTTTCCTCCTTGTTACCCTAAAACTTCAGTACCATGATGCAAAGTTAACTGTTATTAATACTTCTTGTGATAGATAAGAGGAAAGGGAGGGAAAAGATCTTTGGTCAATATCTATAATATACTAATATTTATAAACAAGGGAAGAAGTACAATAATTACAGCCCTTGTTTTGCCAACTGCATGTATAGTGGTAACTAGTATTTATAACAACCTTCCATTGCCCACCCCATATTCCCTTTGCTCTCAGCCAGCACCCTGGCTATTTGTGAATCTGCCTGATGGGGTGATCCAGATACTCATTCCTGAAGATGAAGAATCAGTCCCTACTGGAATTGCTTTGTAGTTTTCCATTGACAGGGCTTGGTGGTACTGAGATCCCCTGGCAGATCTGTGGTTTGACTCCTTATTTCTGTTGCTCCGTTGTTGCCCATTTTCCCCTCATCACCTACACAAGTCCTCAGAGTCTCATAATTGCCTTCTCTATCTGTTATCTCAGGCTTGACAGGAAGCAAAAATTGTGCTAACAGATCACTAGGAGTGAGATTAAGTGGTACCTGTCTTAATTCTGCCCCGTTGATTCCTGGACCAATGGATCTGGCTGTGGGGGAAGGAGAACCAGGTACTGGATGCTGATGTGGATCACAGATAGCCTGGAGAACACTGCTGAGCCCTCAAAGACATTGCCACACAGCTAGTGCTGGAACTGAGTCTTCAAAACCATTCCACCCTTCTTCCATGACGGGTGCTTCAGAAGAAGGGGTCAGACCAGTGAAATTCCATTGAATGACATGAGAAATGCGTTGCTTCCAAAATCCAAGGAGGCCTGTTAGGTATTGTGCCTCTTTTTGGGGGTTCTGGGAGGGCCAGATGCAACAAGTTATCCTGTGCATTAGAAGAGATACCTTGAGACATTTCCCACACTGTTGGGCTCCTAGAAATCTCAGCGGCAGGCACCTGAATTTTTGTTGGATTCATTTCCCACCCTCAGACATAATTTGTCTTTTTTTTATTTTTTAACTTTTATTTAATGAATATAAATTTCTAAAGTATAGCTTATGGATTACAATGGCTTTCTCCCCCCCATAACTTCCCTCCTACCTGCAACCCTCCCCTTTCCCGCTCCCTCTCCCCTTCCATATATTTAATATATTTAGGATTGTTGATACTTCTTGTTCACTAGGTCCAACTGGCATAACGTCATCAATGTAATGGACCTGTGTGATATCTTGTGGAATGGAAATTCAGTCAAGGTCCCTGGGGACTAAGCTATGCCATATGGCTAGAGAGTTAGTGTCCCCCTATGGTAGGACAGTGTGGGTGTGGTACTAACAGTAAAACAAAAAGAAAAACAAACAAAAACAGTTGCAGACCAATAGGCTGTAGACCAGGCCAGTAGATGTGTTAATTTGCTCAAGCAATAAATCCTATCTGGAAGAATGCCTGTGATAGGAGTCACCATCTGGTAAGGATGTGATAATTCACTATCGCTCTCCAAGGTTCTGCTTCCTGCACAGGTCACGGAGGTGGGCTTGGTGGAGATGGGGGAATCCCCACCCCTACATCCACCGAGTCTGTGCTGGGGGCACTCGTCTCTGAAATCCCTCCAGGAATGTGGCACTGCTTCTGGTGTACCATCTCCCCTGGCAGAAGCAGTTCTAGAGGCTTCCACCTGTTCCATCCTACTAGTAAATGCCTTCCCCCCACAGCCTGGCCAGCCAATGTGGGCATCCTGCAGGTTGCCAAATGTGTCTATGCCAATCTTGTTCCTGGAATGGAGGAAATAACCACAGGATGGGTTCAGGAAACCACTTCTCTGGCTTCTCTTTGCTTTTTGTCTACAAATTCCAGTCCCTGTGAAATTCCTTCCAGGTGTTTCTGGGAGTCCCCAGAGAGCCCTTCACACGTGTGTATACCTGAAGCCACACAGCACTTGCCAATTTCTTTTGCTCTGTTCCTGCTCTCCCGGAAGGCTGATGCCCCTCAGCCCAGCTGTTGCTGTGCCTGCCGACTGAGGCTGTTGGTGCTTGGAGACAGTGTGCACTCTGAAGGCCAAGGGCGCCGCATTGGCTCACAGGTGTAACACAACTTCGAATCTCAATGTCACTTACCTGGAGACTAGAGAAACAGCTGCTTCAGGTTTTGCTAGGGAGGGGCTGACAGACACAAGCGTGCTCAGAATCAACCCTCTGCTGTAATGATGTGCCTACTCCACCAACAAAACATTTGCCACTTTAACAAACCTGCCTATCTTCAAGTCAGTTCTTTCCTGGGAAATCTCATGCTTCCTTTTATCTGTCAATCAACTAGATCTGTGTGGACTACAGACTGAGCCATTCTGCAGTTTGTTAGCAAGATAAGCACAGAAATTGTGTCTGGGGCGAGAGTGTGGCTCAGCCGCTTAGGCCACTGCTCCGCTTCAAGTCTCAGTTGCGCTGTTTCCAATCCAGCTTCCTGCTAATGCACCTGGGAAAGCCTCAGATGGTGGCCCAAGCACTTGGGTACCTGCCACCATGTGGAAAACCCAAATGGAATTCTTGGCTTCTGGCTTCTGGTTTCTGGTTTCAGCCTGACCCAGTCCTGGCTATTGCAGCTATTTAGGGAGTGAACCAGCGCATGGAAGATATCTCTGTCTCTTTGTCTCTCTGTGTCTGCTTGTGTGTGTCACTTTTTAAAATAAAGAAATAAACCTTTTAAAAAATAAATTGCAAGTGCTTAAAAATGTACAGCAATTTGACATAGTATTTTTATTGAATTTTAGAAAATCCCAGTCTTTTATGATCATAAATTTTTTTTAAAGTTTTATTTGATTATTTTTATTTTGTTGAACTGCAGAGAGACACATAGAGAGCATTTATCTGCTGGTTCAGTCCCTGAATGCCCACAGCAGCTAGGGCTGGGCCAAGCCGAAGCCAGGAGACAGAAACTCAACTTGGATCCCCCACATGGGTGGCAGGGACACAAGTACTTGAGTTGTGTCATCTCTGGCTCCCACGGTGCACATTAGCAGGAAACTGGAGTGAAGGCACAGTAGCTGGGACTTGAGCCAGGCACTCCCATATGGGAAGTGGGCATTCCAGGAGGTGACTTAATTGCTGTGCCACTTCTCCTACCCCAAGTGGTACCTTAACCACTGTGCCAAATGCCCACCCCTGTAAATTTTAAGAAAAGAAAACCAGAGATGGCTTGAGGAAACTGACATCATGGCCAGGCAGCCTGAATCCATGGAGAGCAGAATAAGGTAGGCTCCAGCCTGGAGCATTCCTGTGGAGTGGGCTTGGCTAGGAAGAGTTTGGTAAAGACATGGATACACTGCAGAAGATCTGAAGTAGTGGAGGGGAGGGAAATAGAATGGACGCTCCCGCTGTCTGCCTGAAGCAACGACAGAGTGTAGCTCCCTAACCTGCACACTCAACACGTACATGAGAGGTCAGGAGAAAGAACCCCAGTCTTTCATGCCACATGAGTGGGAAGAGAAGGGTCCTGCCCCACTGAATATTCTGGTGCCCAGTGGCCTGGACTGGGGGCAGATTCTGCCTAGAGACATGAGCCTTCCCTTCCACAGGTGACTCCAATAGTTCAGGACTATTGCGCCAGTGGGCCAATATTTTCCCAGGGGAATTTGGTGACGAAGTGTTAATACGTTAGCTGTGTCTTAACAGATACTGCCCTTGTGATAAGCACATGCATGTTAGGAGATAAGGCCTGGCACAGATAACTTGCGTGCTGTCCTCTCACATTCCCCGCTCTGATCTGCCATCAGCACGAAACATCGCCATAGTTTTGGAGGAGAAGCAGCTGGGGGCCCCTGCCCAGGCTCTTCTCAGGAGATGCAATCACAGCCTCTCCACTGAACTGGACAGCAGGTGCAGCACGTAACCAGGTCCTAAATACAGAGTACGCTAGGCTATTTGGTAGCTCGCCCATTTCACATGAGAACTCCAGCAAATGGTTTTATTTCCAGCTAATGCATGTTTTATAGCTTCATGTACTTTCTTTTTTTAACATTTATTTATTTGTTTTCATTTTATTTGAATGGTAGAGAGACACCGACAGGCCTACAGTCAGAGAAAGATCTTGCATCTGCTAGTTCACTCCCCCAGATGACCACAGCAGCTGGGATCTGGCCAGCCAAAGCCAGGATCCAGGGACTCCATCTCGGTCTCCCACAACAGTGGGAGGGATCCAAGTAGTTGAGCGATCTCCTGCCGACTCCCAAGGTGCACATTAGCAGGAAGCTGGAATGGGAAGCAGCGCTGGACCTTGAGCACCGGCACTCACTCCAATACAGGACGAGGGTGTCCCAAGTGATGTCTTAACTGACATGCCAAATGTCTGCACCTGTGTGTGTGTGTGTGTTTACAGTATTTACTTACATCATCACATATTTGTTTATTGTCTTTTCCATATTTAATGAAGAATTCCTTGAGGCCCAGAACAACCTCTTCAATTTCAAAGGCTTCATGGCTTAGAGTCTATCTGAAGTACCCTTGCTATCTGTGATATAAGTCAGCTGCAGTTCATTTAAATTACAAATATTAACATGTTTTAATAGCAAAATAGTACATGCACAGCTCCTTTTCATAAACAACTGAAGAATATAAATACACATGTTTTACAAAAAGTAAAAATAACATTACTTAGACTTTGTTTCTGTGAAAACAAAAGGCTGAGTACATCTGGTAAGGATTCATTTGCAACTTCTTCCTTTGCAAACTTGATACAATACATTTTAACCGGACATTTGCTTTATCCCATACAATACAAACATAACAAAGTACATTAAAAACCTTGTTGAAATATACAAAGCCTAATGCAATTTCTGAATCTTAGATGTTTAAATACCAGAAGGAATTTATTTAACAAGCTGCCCTGTGGGGCTGTGAGAGCAGTGTTACATCATAGCGTGGCTCCCTCGTCTTGATTTTCTGGCTCTTCACCCATTTTTGTCTCCCTCCAAACTTCTATCTTAAAAAAGCAGGATTATGGCCGGCACCACGGCTCACTAGGCTAATCCTCCGCCTGCGGTACCGGCACCCTGGGTTCTAGTCCCGGTTGGGGCGCCAGATTCTGTCTGGGTCGCTCCTCTTCCAGTCCAGCTCTCTGCTGTGGCCCGGGAGTGCAGTGGAGGATGACCGAAGTGCTTGGGCCCTGAACCCGCATGGGAGACCAGGAGAAGCACCTGGCTCTTGGATTCGCATCAGCGCGGTGCGCCGGCCATAGTGGCCATTTTGGGGGTGAACCAACGGAAAAGGAAGACCTTTCTCTCTGTCTCTCTCTCTCTCACTGTCTAACTCTGCCTGTCAAAAACAAAACAAAACAAAAAGCAAAAACCAACCAACAAACAAAAAGCAGGATTAGTAAAGATCGTAGAAGGGGTTGGCATCTGTTTCTGACCTCTGGACGCCGTATTTCATTCGCCCTGTCTCACTCCTTTGATTCCAGTTTGAAACGGCTGTGTAACACATGATTGTATATTTTATGGAAATTTAGTGTTACTCCATCAACCGGCAACAGAAGTTGCTCTTTAGTAAGGCATTTCTTGAGAAATGCCTCCTGGGCCACTGGGAGATGTGGCAGGTACCAGTGCCCCAGCAGTGCCCCACCGTAATAAGAGCTACAAGCTATCTGCTGCTTCCTTACCCTTCCTCAATTTCTTTTTTGAACTCTTCAAAAACAACGCTTCCCCTAAATGCTCAAAGACGATGTTTTCAAACTGTACCCTTGTTGATGTCAATCCCTACTAACCACCCATAGGACATTTAGTTCTCATAGCTTTAACCTAAATGAATGGCCCACTAGCTTCCTGAGCCTTGTAAAAAGAGAAAATCAATCCTGCGAACACTTTCTATTTTAGCTTTGGAACCTGTTTTTTTGTTTGTTTTTGTTTTGTTTTGTTTGTATAAAGAAAAAAAGAAAGCAAAACACACCCCCCTCCTTGAAAACCTTTTGATGTTTGCTTTCTCAAGGGACTCACAGGGAAGCAGCCGAAGCTGGCTGCATCCTGCTGCCTGGAATTCTGTACAAGCTGGGCGCCAGGGCGCTGACCTTGAGGCACCCTGGAACTGCAGGCCACGGGTGCCGACCAGTTGGCGACCACAAAAGCGCTTTCTCTTACATGGCGGCATGTGCTCAGAGGGGGCAGGCCTGGGAGTGGAGGTTGAACCCGTTTCTATCAGCACAAGGATTTCCTCACTAGTCGTAAGGAGGTGGCCGCGTCTGGCAAAGGCAGCAGTTTGCAGGGAGTTAGCCGACGTGGGATGCGGGTCCCGATCAGAATCTGCTTCGGATTTGTTTTGAAGAGGGAATCCTGAGTCTGCTCTCGCGGGGAGGCTGCCACAGAGGGATCACAGCACCAGGGAGCATTCGCCTGCGCTCCCGGGCCGGGCAGTCCTTGGCGAGAAAGCTCTATTTAAAGATGAAAGACCGAGAGCGAATGGTACCATCTCTTTGGTCGAGCTGTTTTCTGATTTGTGACTGCAATAAAACACAGACACGCAGGTATTTGTGATTGAGTGCATCTACAATAACAAACCCTGACTTTTAATAAATACTGAAATAAATATTAAAGAAGACATGCCAACTTCTAAGTAGCCGCACAGCTCAAAATGATGCCCCCTTGCAAGTTTTAATATGGTTTTCTGTATGTTTCTCAGGAGGTATGTTGTAAAGTGGTTGCTTTGAACTAACACATACAACTATCCATCACACAATATTATTCAATGAATCAAAGGAGGACATAGATATCAAAGTATTGATATGGGCACAAGTTCATAATATTTTGTGAAGTGGAGTGAGAAGGAAAGAACATTAGAGAATGGCTTTAAGTATTTTCTTGCACAGGGAGAAGGCTAAAAGATATATTTTATCTTAATTTTTCTACAATGATTATGTGTCCCTTGCATAATTACAAAATATAAAGAGTAAGATATTTATTCCTATCTGAACAAAGGTTTCATATGGCAAAATATTTCCCAAAATATTTTGTCACTGAATATCAAATACATTGGGAAAAGTTCAAAATCAGTGCAGTATTTCTTTAGATTTCAAATTCAAAATAAAACCAAGAGCAAAAGTTCCAGAATCTAGAAGGAAGTATTCAACAAGAGTCTTGGTTTTGTGTGTATATCAGATAATTTCACAACAAATAATTAGGCAAAATAGTTTACTTTTTGAAAATATCAAGGTTTCAAGATTGCATTTATAGAAAAATTTGGTAAGCTTTGAGGTATCGTTCTTGGTTAACAGCTCATGCAAAAAGTGTATGAGAATGTCAACTTTATATAAATGCCCCATTTTCTCCCAGGAAGTATTTAGAAAGCAGGTAAAATAAACTGCCTTTTGTCCCTGGCCTGCACAGAGCGACACACGGGAACCTAAGTTCCTCTAGCAAACTCCCTGCTCTGACAATTTAAAAAGCTCTTCAGTGAGAGAACTATGTCAGCATTACTCTGTGAAATCTACGGTCCCAAATGTCTGCTCCAGACAAGACAGGACTAACTTGTATACCTTAAAGGAAGAGTTAAGAGGTCGGTGCTGTGGCGTAGCAGGCGAGGCTGCCACCCACCGTGCCAGCATCACAGATGGGTGCAGGTTCCAGTTGCTCCACTTCTGATCCAGCTCCCTGTTCATACTCTTGGGAAAGCAGGGGAGGACAGCCCAAGAGCTTGGGTCGCTGCACTCACGTGGGAGACCTGGAACAAGCTCCTGGCTCCTGACTTTGGATCAGCCCAAATGGATGCAGCCATGTGGGGAGTGAACCAGCAATAGAAGATCTCTCTCTCTCTCTCTCTCTCTCTCTCTCTCTGCATCTCTCTCTCTCTCTGTGTGTGTGTGTGTGTGTGTGTGTAACTTTGCCCTTCAAATAATAAATAAACAAATCTTAAAAAAAAAAAAAAAAGAGAGAGAAGACTTAAGGCCAGGCCTGGGGCTAAGGCTCTAGGGCTGAAACCCAAATACGTCTCCATCCTTTCCTTTTCACAGCCCTGTCTCCATCTCTTCTCAACTCCTAGAGGAACGAGCAGTCTGTTCCAGAAGCGCACAAGCGTCTCTCCCTGATTCTTGGGCATCATCTGACTCAACAGAACTAAGCTTAATAAAATCATCACCACGTTATTTCTCAGGGCTAGGCATCAACTCACCAGCTTCCAGCGTAATATCTTGATCCATTCATCCGCTTCCACCCCCGTCTTTGCACAGAGATAAAACGTCCTGAATGGAAACACTAGGCTGGAAAGGCAAAAGAAGGCATGTAAGACACTCCAGATGGTTGGTGGCACACATCACTAGTTACGCATTAATTAGAATAGTCCATGGGAAAAATAATACAGAGTTTAGGTAATGGATGGATTGGTATATATGGAACTATTTCTGTCAGCAACCTGCAGAAATATTGAGGAAGTTATGGATTCTTCTTACTATTGACAGGTCAGATTAATATTCTCTAATGAGACTTCAAAGAAGAACAAAACAATCCAGGAAGCCTCAGAACCTTCCGCTGTGTGTGTGTGTGTTGGGCTGAATCCAGTGCTTCTGTGTTTATTCAGCTGATCTCTCAAATGACTCAGACCCTGTGCTATGAGCCCCGGAATAAGCCCGACCCGTAGGGTTTGCTGAATGAACTAACTCAGTTGGGCTACTTTGCTTCCATGAGGGTCCCTGCAGCAGGAGGATGTAGTCAGTTTTGAGTATTTAGGACAGGAAACACAGGCAGTACAACTCCTCAGCAGGGACTGTGCCCGGCTCTGGCCATGACTTACTCTGCTGGAGGACAGATGAACTTTCCCCATGGCGTGAATGAACAGCAGTCTTTCTTACCTTTTTTTTTTTTTTAAAGATTTTATTTATTTATTTGAGAGGTAGAGTTACAGACAGTGAGAGGGAGAGACAGAGAGAAAGGTCTGCCTTCCATTGGTTCACTCCCCAAATGGTCGCAATGGCCTGAGCTGCGCCGATCTGAAGCCAGGAGCCAGGCACTTCTTTCTGGTCTCCTACATGGGTGCAGGGGCCCAAGGACTTGGGCCATCCTCCACTGCTTTCTCAGGCCATAGCAGAGAGCTGGACTGGAAGAGGAGAAGCCGGGACTCGAACCGGCACCCATATGGGATGCCGGCGCCGCAGGCGAAGGATTAACCTACTGTCCCATGGTGCTGGCCCCAGCAGTTCTTCTGACTGTCTCTGAGTATATATATTTGGCTAAAATCATGTGAATGACAACTTTTATCTTGCTCTTTCTTTCTCTTTGTACTGCCATTTGAGAAGCAAAGGCTAAAAACATTTTTCCTTTTGTGTTGGTGGTGGGAGAAGCCTTGAATTGAAATTCAGAAAGGTCTCTATATCCTACATCTTAAACAGAATATATTGTTGAAGCCAGTGGACAATGTTGACTTCATAAGACGGAAGTTCCTGTGTGCAGCAGGTAGAACCCTGGTGGGATGCCCAACTGAGGGGTGAGTGGGCTGCGGTAGGGGGCGTCGTGCACACAGTGCATAAAGCTAGTGTCTAATCATTCTTGTTTTGTATTCCCTGTGGGAGACATTATTAGTTGCCTTTTCTTCTTGCTAACAGAGCCTCAGGCAATAAGTCCTAATTAGTTTATGCCAATTATGATGATACTATCAATGTCTCTAGTCTCCTACTTGGCTGTGGATGGCCAAGGCACTGCATCGTGGCCAATGAGCATTAAAGGGCAAATTGATGGGTGAGCACCTGCGGACGCGCTGGCTTTTCTGAGGTAAGGGGATGGCAAGGCTGATACCACCCCTAATGGCTTTCTCTGTGCCTTACATGGAAGCCTGAGACCTAAGGTTGGAAGAGCCACTTGGGTCCTGAGATGGCTAGCAGGAGGAAAGGCCAAGTGAAATGCAGAGATGGTGGGCCTGCCCCTGTCCACGTAGTGACCTGCCACTCAAGCTGTTTGTTTTAATAGAAAAATATACCCCCGCCAGCTCACATGACACCTCTATGTGGATTTAAAAAAGAAATCCATTGTTGGCTGATATTATAGCATCAATGTTAATTTTCTCAGGAGTAATAGTAGCATTGTAGTAGTATAGGTTATATTTTTATTCGTAGGAGAAACACACTCAAGTCTTTAGGGTGCCATGGTGTCTGCAGCTTCACTGGTTCAAAAAAAAAATGGTAGATAGAGATCAAGCAAACATGGCAAAACATTAATGATTGATGCATCTAGGTCAAGGGTATGTTTGAAAAATTTAAAAAGTTACAGGGCAGGCATTGGACTCAGTGGTTAAGATGCTCGTATCCCATATCAAAGTGCCTGGGTTCAATGCCTACCTCTGGCTCCTCACTCCAGCTTCCTGCTAAGGCAGACCTTGGGAGGCAGTGGTGATGGCTCCGGTAACTCTGTGCCTGCCACCCACAGGGGAGGCCTGGCCCCCAGGCATCTGAGGAGTGAACCAGCAGATGGTATGCCCCTCTCCATCCCCGTCTGCCTCCTCCTCTCCCACTGTCTGTCAGGAGTGATCATGATGATCGGGAGTGATACTAAAACTCGAGAGCAAAAGAAATAAAGTGAAGATCCCCTTTTGTGTGTCATCTTTTTTTCTTTTTTTTTTTTAAAGGATTTTTTTTTTTTGACAGGCAGAATGGACAGTGAGAGAGAGAGAGAGAAAGGTCTTCCTTTGCTGTTGGTTCACCCTCCAATGGCCGCCGCGGCAGGCGCCCTGCGGCCGGTGCACCACGCTGATCCGATGGCAGGAGCCAGGTGCTTCTCCTGGTCTCCCATGGGGTGCAGGGCCCAAGCACTTGGGCCATCCTCCACTGCACTCCATGGCCACAGCAGAGAGCTGGACTGGAAGAGGGGCAACCGGGACAGAATCCGGTGCCCCGACTGGGACTAGAACCTGGTGTGCCGGCACTGCAAGGCGGAGGATTAGCCTAGTGAGCCGCGGCGCCAGCTGTGTATCATTCTTGTACAGTGCACAGCCTGAACACAGCTGGCCTGCCTCTATGCTTAAGCCACTTTACTTAAGGTATAATGATAGACTCAGATGAAAGCACCCCTAACATGTAGGCCCTGTGTGATGGTGGTTAAAAGCACATCCTTCAAATCCCCACATGTATAGACATTTAGACATAGATTTTTATTCCTTAGCTAAAGGAAGTGTGTGGTAAGATGTTTTAAATGCATTTCCTTTATACATATGGATATAGAAACAACAACAATGACAACTTACCAAAAACAGTTTACCCTTTCCTGTGAATAATCAAATTGTACAGCTGAACATTCCTTTAGGTCTAGGATCCGAATTGGGTCTGATGACTTTAAAAAGAAAATCACAAGGCAACGTATATCATTAAAGAACCACGCAAATTTGCCGACCGCTTGTTCCCACCATGTGTAACTCAGCCGTCAATTCCTTTCACCATGAGGACTGATCACAGGAAAGCCTCATCAAGGGAGGCCACGCACCTGTAATTTTTGGATTAGCCTTTCATGAAACTGGGCATTAAGAAGAGATTATCGGGGCCGGCATTGTGGTGTAGCGGGTAAAGCTGCCACGTGCAACACCAGCCTCCCATATGGGCATCAGTTCATGTCCCACCTGCTCTACTTCTGATCCAGCTGCCTGCTAATGGCCTGGAGAAAGCAGTGGAAGATGGCCCAAGTTCTTGGGCCCCTGTCACCCACGTGGGAGAGCCAGACGAAGCTCCTGGCTTTGGCCTGGCCCAGTGCTGGCCATTGCAACAACCTGGGGAGTGAACCCACAGATGGAAGATCTCTCTTCTTCTGTCTCTCCCTATCTCTCTGTAATTCTGACTTTCAAATAAATAGATTGTTTTCATCCATTTACATTTGGAGGAGATGGACTTTAGTACATGCATAGAAGTCATATTTCTCTCATCTCTTGAAACTGTACTTTCTCAGATATTTTATACAAGGAAAGCAGCAAGAAATGGAATGATTTTAAGTTGACTGAGCAAAGTGGGCAAATTTTGAATAAAGAGGGAAATTGCTGCAGCGGCGATGACTAACTACGGCATGAGAACAATCCCGTCTCCCCAGACAGAAGGCAGCCAGTGCCCCGGGAGCTGAACGTCAGCCAGACCCTGATCCATGTAGGAGCACTCTGCCTTCTCGGTGGTTAGGGATCACACGGGCAGCCACTGGCTGGGTTTGAGTGGACAGAGGAGGTTTGCAGGGATTTTAACGATAGATGTGTCTTTTATCTAGACAGCTATCTCTGCAGAGGAAATGCTTTATCACGCCTCTCACCATCTGGTCCTTGAAGTACTTCAGTTCATTCCTGTGTAAAGTGAACCATCTTGTTTTCCAGGTCTGAGAAACAAAACAAAACGCACAGGTTTAAGACACAGGAATCTAGTATTTGAACTAAATGATTAACCTTCTTCTAAAAGTATCTGAAAGATAAGATATAATAATCCAGAAAAATATTGTGTCATTTCTAAGGAAAAAAATTTTAAAATAGATACAAAATTTGACTTCAAGGGGCCACTGTCATGGCACAGTTGGGGTAAAGCTGCTGCCTGAGATGCCAGCATCCCATATGGGTGCTGGTTTGTATCCTGGCTGCTTCCCTGCTATCCAGCTCCCTGCTAATGGCCTGGGAAGGCAGCAGAAGGCCCAAGGGTTTGTGTTCTTACCACACATGTGGGATACCCAGAAGAAGCTCCTGACTCCTGGCTTCAACCTGGCCCAGCTCTGGCCATTGTGGCCACTTGGGGAGTGAAGCAGTGTATGGAAGACCTCTCTCTCTCTCTCTCTCTCTCTCTCTCTCTCTGACTTTCAAATAAATAATCCAAATCCTTTTTTTTTTTTTTAAAAAAGGTGATTCTATTCATTAAGTTCTGATGAAGAAGAGATGTTAGCATTCCTATTACAAATATGCAAGTGATTTATTTTTTTTTTTTTGACAGGCAGAGTGGACAGAAAGAGAGACAGAGAGAAAGGTCTTCCTTTGCCATTGGCTCACCCTCCAATGGCCACTGCGGCTGATCTGAAGGCAGGAGCCAGGTACTTATCCTGGTCTCCCATGGGGTGCAGGGCCCAAGCACTTGGGCCATCCTCTACTGCACTCCCTGGCTACAGCAGAGAGCTGGCCTGGAAGAGGGGCAACCAGGACAGAATCCGGCGCCCCGACCGGGACTAGAACCCTGTGTGCTTTGCGGCACAAGGTGGAGGATTAGCCTAGTGAGCCGCGGCGCCGGCTAGCAAGTGATTTGTAATAAACCACTACATTTCCATCTTATTAACTCTACAATAAAAATAGGTGTCATTTTTGAACACCTACTATGAGCTATATACTATGCATAGAAGTTTATAGACATTATAACCAGTCCTCATAAAACAATATCAAATATTACTGATCCCATCTTTGTAAGATGAGCAAATTGAGGGGTAGGACCTCAACTACATTCTAAACTTTGTCTAGGAATTCCATAGAATTTGTGGCAAAAACTGGTGCTGCCCACTGCCACATGAGCTGCTGACAGAACCCTCATCCATCCTGGGTGCTTGTGTGCCCCACGAGCAGTTGAAAGAAGTAACAGGGGCTGGCGCTGTACACAGTGAGTTAAGGCACTGCTTGTTACACTGGTTCCCATAATGGAGTGCCAGTTGAAGTCCCTGATACTCTGCTTCCAACCCAGTTCCCTGTTAATGCTCTTGGGAAAGCAGTGGAAGACAGCCCAGGTGCGTGGGCCCCTGCCACCCATGTGGGAGACCTGGATGGAGTTCTTGGCTCCTGCCTTTGACCTGGCCAGACCTAGCTGTTGTGGGCATTTGGGAGAGTGAACCAGCAGATGGAAGATCTCTCTTTCTTTCTCTGTCTCTCTGCCTTTCAAATAAGTAAATAAGGATTTTTTTAAAAGATTTTTTTATTTATTTGAAAGTCAGAGTTGCACAGAGAGAGGAGAGGCAGAGAGAGAGAGAGGTCTTCCATCTGATGGTTCACTCCTCAATTGGCTGCAACAGCCAGAGCTGTGCCTATCCAAAGCCAAGAGCCAGGAGCTTCTTCTGGGTCTCCCATGTGGGTGCAGGGGCCCAAGCACTGAAGCCATCTTCTACTGCTTTCCCAGGCCATAGCAGAGAGCTGGATCGGAAGTGGAGCAGCCGGATCTCAAACCGGCGCCCATATGGGATGCCGGTACTTCAGGCAAGGGTGTTAACCCACTGCACCATAGCGCTGGCCCCATAAATAAAGATCTTTTTAAAGAAGGAAGTAACAGTGGATTTAAAACACAGATGTTCTTTGAACATGAAATTCCCTCAGGAAACACCCAGTCTAGTAGGGACACAAATGACTAAATATTTAGGTTGAATTCAACCTTCCAGGAAGGTCTTTTTGGTACATTGAAATGAAACAGAGCAACTGGAAAAGTGCGATCACACCAACGGGAGATACACAGATACCATGGGTTTTAAAGTCCCAAGCTGTGTTCTCTTCCGGATTTTGTAACAATTTCTTTAATGCCAGGGATGTTTTTGGTCTACCTTTAAGTAAACAGGTTATACAATGTTGACATCTTTGTTTAAAAAAAAAAAAAAAGAATGTTCTAGAGTTAACCTGCTACCTTCACCCTCAGCCATTCCATGAAAAGAACTGTGTTTGCCTTTTTTTTTTTTAAAGATTTATTTGTTTTATTTGAAAGGCAGTTACAGAGAGAAGGAGAGAGAGAGAGACAGAGGCAGAGAGAGAGAGACAGAGACAGAGACAGAGAGAGACAGAGACAGAGAGAGACAGAGAGGTCCTCTATCTGCTGGTTCACTCCCCAGATGGCTCAAACAGCCAGAGCTGAGCTGCTCTGAAGCCAGGAGCCAGGAGCTTCTTCCTGGTCTCCCATGCGGGTGCAGGGGCCCAAGGACTTGGACTATCTTTTACTGCTTTCCCGGGCTACAACAGAGAGCCAGATTGGAAGAGGAGCAGCCAAGTCTCGAACCGGCACTCATACGGGATGCAGGCACTGCAGGCAGCAGCTTTACCCACCACACCACAGCATTGGGCCCCAGGATTGTGCTTTCTTGACCATTAACTTCAGGCTACTCTTACATGCCTTTGCCACAGAAAAGCCAAGCCACTGTCCAGAATTTCATTGAATAAGTCATGAAAATAAACTCTTGAAACAGGTAAATGTTACAAGCAGGTCAAAATGAGCAGGCAATTACACTTAAAAAAAAAAAAAATAAGAGAACTGTCAGAATGATGCCAAGATGCCTCAGGCACTCTCCTTTGTGGCTGGTATGCCTTACCTTCACCAGGCCGCCCTGTTTGGTGAGGTAGCCTTCTTTGGTGCCCAGCTGAAAAACACAAAACAACAACACAGAAGTAGTGAGTGAAAGCCTGCACCCCCAGAGCATGATGTTCCTCTTCCTATTTCTGGACGGCTGGAAATGAAACAAGTTTGCCTTTGATCTTTAACTGATCACCTTTCATTCTTCACCCAGGTACTTGAAAATCGTCCATGTGGGGGAGAGACTGTTTTCAGACTGGATCACCTGCTGTAACTCTGTAGCAAGGGGCAGCCAATGCAAAGGCTGTCTATCCCCAAGCTAGCAATGTGCAAACAGTAAACCACATCATTTCACTTAGAAAAGTCAGTGTCTGTCAGTTTGTCATGTGAAACCCAGCTGCTTGGAATACTTCAGGGGTATTAGCACATAAATATGCACACACACACAGAGACACACACACACATCCACAGTCAATACATTTGGGAAGCTGAACTGAAAAAAAGTAAAAAGATTTCTTTACTTAAGGGCTCCCCCAGAGCCTGTATTATGCTAATATTCTTTGTAAATTTCTAAAAAATTTTAATTTATTTATTTGTTTGAGATGGAGAGATGGTGGTGTGAGACGTTGTGGGGAGGGGGAGAAAGGTGGGAGGGAGAAAGAGAGAGAGTTCCTATCTGCTCATTCACTTCTTTAATGCCTTCAACAGCCAGGAGTGGGCTCAACCAAAGCCAGTAGCCAGAAACTCAGTCCAGGTCTCCCACATGGGGGACAGGACCTCACCTGCTTGAGCCGTAACCGCCTGCCTCCCAGGATCTGCAGTAGCAGGATGCCAGAGTCAGGAGCTGGAGCCGGGCACTGACCTCAGGCACTGATGTGGCACCCGGGTATCTCGGCCGGCATCTGAACTTGCCAGGCTACGTGCCCACACCCCCCTTTGTGAAGTTTTAAGAGAGAACCTTAGCAATGGAATTTCCACATTTTCAACTTTCATTTTGTCACATAATTCCTCTTCCCACATTAGCCCCCAGCCAACCCTCTCCCTGCTTCCCTCTTCACCCCACCCCCACCTTTTGTAGACCCTCTCTTGAGATCCATATTCTATGAAACAGACTTTCAGATGTGCAGATTTACTTCTCTGATTTATCCAAAAGGGATTTGAAATGAGAATGAGTTATTTCTTCTAACTCACATATCACTAATTTAGGGGTAACCACAATATTGCACACGTAGCTAGCAGAATGATAGGGAACTTGTGTGAACAGGATCTGCATAAGACAAGGACCCTATAGTGAAGAAATGTACACTTTCACACATTTATGAAGAAATTGAACCTGGTAGTCTTTTGTTTTAGTGCTCGGTCACAGTAAGTCTTGTAAGGAAAAAAAAAAAAAAAAAGAACTGGAAAAGGACTTGATTGACATCATGGTTCTTTCCATGGGAGTTTCCAGGGTATTTTTTCCTGAAGTGGAGTCTATAAAAAAAACAAGAAGAAGAAGAAAAACCACCACTCCAGTAAAAAGAGTTTAGGCAAGAAGTAATATGCAACAAGTTCTTTTGAAATTGAAATTCTTTTGACAAAAAAGCAAAGGAGAACTTCTCTGGTGCTTACTTAAGTTATCAATATTAGTGAATTTGATGTCACATAGTCAATTCACTTTAGTTTCATGTTAAAGAAATTGAAGTGACTGATTAGATATTATGAAAATGACAAAAAATAACATTTTGGATTGTTGCAGGTTAAATAATTATGGGAAACTGGTTATATCAAAGACTTTGATAGAATTAGCCATTGAACTCAAACTAATGAATAACACTGCTCACTTGATCTTACCTCCATCCAAAGAATATACCAGAAGTCTGATGTTTTTCTAAGATTTTAGTGAATGAAAGGCTGCACAAGGAAACCTCAAGGTGTTAATTTTATTCAGGATGTAAGAGTTGAAATAATATATTTTTTAAAAGATTTATTTATTTATTTGAAAAGCAGAACTACAGAGAGACAGAAGGAGAGGAGGAGAGATCTTCAATCTGCTGGTTAACTTTCCAAATGGCTGCAACACCCAGGTCTGGACCAACTGAAGCCAGGAGCCAGGAGCTCCTTCCAGGTCTCCCACATGGGTGCAAGGGCCCATGGGCCATCCTCTGTTTCTTTTCCAGGCATGTTAGCAGGAAGTTGGATCAGAAGTGGAACAGCTAGCACTTGAACTGGGATGCTAATGCTGCAGGCTGTGGCTTAACCCTCTGTGTCACAGAGCCAGCCCCATAAAATAATATTTTTACAGATTTCTTTATTTATTTGAAAGGCAAAGCAATAGCGATAGAGTTAGAGGGGCTGGTGCTGTGGTGCAGTGAGTTAAAGCCCCAGCCTGCAGTGCCGGCATCCCATAGGGGCACTGGTTCGAGTCCTGGCTGCTCCTCTTCCAATCCAACTCTCTGCTGTGGCCTGGGAAAGCAGTAGAAGATGGCCCAACTCCTTGGGCCCCTGCACCTGTGTGGGAAGCCTGGAGGAAGCTCCTGGCTCCTGGCTTCAGATCAGCTCAGCTCTGACTGTTGTGGTCATTTGGGGAGTGAACCAGTGGAATGGAAGACCTCTCTCTCTCTCTCTCTGACTCTACCTCAGTCTGTTACTCTGTCTTTCAAATAAATAAAATAAATCTTTAAAAAAGAAAGAATCAGAGAGAGAGAGAGAGAGAGAGAGAGAAGGGAGAGAGAGAGAGAGAGAGAGAGAGAGAGAGAGATACCTTCTAATCTTCTATCCACTGGTTCACTTCCAAAAGGGCCACATTAGTGGGGACTGGGCCAGGCCAATGCCAGGACCATGGAACTTTCTCTTCCAGGTCTCCCACATAGGTGTCAGGGACCCAAGCACTTGAGCCATCTGCTTCCTCCCAGTATATACTAGCAGAAGCCGGATTGGAAACAGAGGAGCTGGGGCTTGAACCAGCACTCTGATATGGGATGTGGGCATCCCAAGTGTTGGCTTTATCTGTGCTACAGTGCTTCATAGCAAATTTATCTTTTAAAAAATCTATAATCCATAACAGGAAAGATATTTAGAGGAATTTAAAATTGGAAACAACCTTAGTGGTTAAAAATAAAGGATTAAAGGGCCAGTGTTGTAGCACAGTGGATTCAGCCACTGCTTATGACACTGACATCCCATATCAGAGCACTGGTTTGAGTCCTGGCTGTTCCACTTCTGATCCATCTCCCTGTTCATGTGCCTGGAAAGCAATGGAAAATGGCCCAAGTCACTGGGGTCCTGCCACACACGTGGGAGACATGGATAGAGTTCCAGGCTCCTGGCTTCAGCCTGGCCCAGCCCTAGCCAAGGCAGCCATTTGAAGAGTGAACCAGTGGATGAAAGATGATAGCTCTCTCTCTCTCTCTCTCTTGCTTTGCCTTTCAAATAATTTTTTTAAAAAAGGCTCAATGGCTCTGTTATAGACAAATACGTAAATAAATAAATAGTCCCTTCCTGCCATCCTACCTACTTACCAGCTGCCTGGCTTAAATGTAGTTGATAGCCATCAGGTGTGAAGCTAGATGGGTATCTGTGGGGCCAGATGCTGTGGCATAGTGGGTAAAGCTGCCACTTGCAGTCCTGGCTGCTCCAATTCCAATCCAGCTCCCTGCTAGTACACCTGGGAAAGCAACAGAGGGCAGTCCAGGTCCTTGGTCCACTGCACTCATGTGAGGGACTAGGAGGAAGTTCCTGGCTCCTGGCTTCAGATCAGCCCAGCTCTGCCATCTGGGGAGCGAGCCAGCAGATGGAAGATTTCTCTCCCTCTCCCCTCCCCCCACCCCCATCTTGCCTCTCTGTAACTTTGCCTTTCAATAAATAAATAAATAAGTAAATGCTTTTAAAAAAAGATATCTGTGTGTCTGAAGACCTGCTTGCACTTTCACACAGGGTGGTGAAGCCCTAGCGGGGGATGGGGGGGGCTCTGTATGGATGATGTGGCAATGGTGGTGGCAGCAGCTTACTGTGGTAGTGAAGCCTGGTAGGACGCAGAGGGCTTCTACTCAACGGAGTGGAGGTGGTGACCAGCGTACACTTTCAAGGCCAAGTCAGGCTAGATGGGTGTTAGCATTGACAGCATGGGTAGCAGTGGCTTGGGACTGATGTTGGAGCATGAGTTGGATGATCAGAATGTTGGGGATAGGATGGTGGATGGTATGAACAGTGACTGAAAATTGCTTACATTCAGTTGATCATATCATGAAATAAGTAAGTGGATTGAGGGTAGTGCAGCCCACATTCCTTACCCTGGAAGAAGGGAGTTAAAAATAAGAAAAGAGAAAGACATAAGCATGAGCCTCGAGTACCAGATTAGGATTGGAGGTATTGAGTGAACGTATGGATGGAGAGACGGCTAGACACAGATGGACAGGCAGATGGCAGACAGAGGTAGGTAGATAGATGGATATAGAGATGACAGATGAGAGATAAAAGTATGTATGTGTATGTGTGTATGCAAGTATACAAAATTTCCCCTGCTCTGTTGTAGTGAGCACACAGTAAGTACTCAGAATACTCAGATGTTACCCTCAAGTTTCACTCCACTTTTTCTATGACATATTACCATCTGGTATTGTATTATTATGTTGTTATTGTCTGTGACCTTCCTCACCCAAAATGAGGCTTCAATGATGGGAGAGCTTGTGCCTATTTTACTCTAAAACACCCAGTGCTTAAAACAGTGCTGGATGTAGTGTAGGCACTTAAAAATATCCATACAATACATGAGTTTAGTTAAATTAATCATGGTCAGGAACCCCATGCATTGCTGTTTATTAAAAGTGTCAATAGCAATTTCCCCAAAAAGTGACTGCCAGAGGATGCTAAACAGTTTTGCGCAATCATCTATATTTCTGGGCAATAGGGCATCTTTCATTTTCACTTCAAGCAAGTTCTTTTTTCCTATAAACAGCACTTAATTCTCTTCCTCCACTGGTAGACCTTATGAAAGAACCACATCCCCAAAAGACAAAACAGACGGTTGAAGACGGTTGAAAAACTTCAGTGTTCACACGTTGGAGATGGAGGTGCAGCACCATGTGG